GTTCGGGGACTCTTAACTGTTTGATTTTCTGAATGAAATCGTTAGTGTCTTTAAGGTAGGATGGGTAATAAGAAATGGTCTATATATTGTGATACGTTGTATCATTCGCTGCCACAGTCTGATATTATTGGGCGTCCCTTGGGTATTTTATTAGGTATAAACCATTCTGTTTCTGGATTTTTATGTATTTTTGGTAGTGTATAGAGATGTCTTTGTCGGCAGTCAGATTTAGCAGATAGATAATCATATTGTTTTGCTGTTATGTATTCCTTATCCTGCAATTCATATAAGATGTTGTTTATTAAAGTTGCGGTGTCCTTAAAGATGGGTTGGCCTAATTTAGTGTAATGTATAGGATTACTTAATTGTTTTTCTGCCTCTGAGATATAGTCTGCGCGATTCATTATGACACAACACGAGCCTTTGTCGCTTTTCTTAATTATTATGTTTTTGTCTTTTTTAAGGGTGTTTAATGCCGTTTTAGTTGCACGGTTGAGATTTGGTTTTTGTGATTGTGGTTGAATGGATGATATTTCTATATTCATTTCGTCGAATGTTTTTAGGATGGCTGGTGATAATGACTTTTTAGGTGGTTTCCATGTGGATTTTGCTGTGAATAATTTTTTACCTCTGCCGGGTTTGTTCCTAAAAAAATAAGTCAACAAAAGTAAACATTAGGGCTAGGTCGAGGGTTAGGGTTGGGATTAGCGCTAGCCTGTTTACATTCTCGTGACCTATGACGAAAAACCGAGTTGGCCTTATCATTTAGCACTAACTCTATCAACATGGTCTTATTTAACGATGAATATTCGTATTCCATGCATATCATTCACTAATAAGGGCGCTGAAGTTGTGTACTGGAAAAGACTTAAGTCGAGACGACGAGTTTTCCCACTCCAAAAGTAGTTCACTAGATTGTTCATTAATCTCTGAGAGGGCTAATTTTCTCGCAGACTCGATAACAAATGTTGGGGGGAAAGGTAGCACGTTACTTATCGCCATTGGAAACCAGAATCAATGACCAATCAGACTCGAAAACACAAGACAGAGTAATAATTAATAGATAAGAAGTCAGGTCAATTTTTGTCAATCAGGGGATAGATTGTGTCTGGTAAACACGCGCTAGCATGGCAACAACAGAGCCCCCGGCAAACGTCTAATCCGCCATCTTTGAACTCGTCGACATATGTTCAAAGTTTTCGATGTAAATAACTAAAAGGGTGATGGTAAATATTTGAAATTTGCTTATATGTTTAAAATAAATAAGGGAGAGGGAGGGGGTGGCCGAATCGTTAGCGAGTGAGCGTTGTATCATAAGGTCTGTCATTGAGTCGCCTGTCCAACCTCGTGGGGTTTCTCCGCGTCCTCTAGTTTCCTCCAACTGCAAGCGAATTATTGAAATAAAATTGTAGTATATGTCAGTCCCGAAATGACCTAATATTTGTTAAGTGAACGTGAAACCCCATTTCTTTCTCTGGTCCAAAGCTTGTAGGTAACAAGGCGTAGGGTTTTCTTCAGTGGGTTCTCCGGTTTCCTTGAAGAAAGAACATTATTATAGCAAAGGTTAGCCCCGAAATGACCCCCCCCCCCTCTCTCTCTCTCTCTCTCTCTCTCTCGTAGTTTTTCTCAGGGTGCTCCGGTTTCCTCCCACTGCTAAAGACCCATATGCACAATGTTAGTCCCGAAACGACCATGTTTGTGCCGAGTGGACGTTAACCTCCTCTCTCTCTCTCTCTCTCTCTTAAGTAATATCAATGAAATATATATCACTATTGAATTTACACGTACGTATGTTTTATATACGCTTCATGAAACTTTCCCCTTGTCAGTGATGCAGGACGGAGGGCCTGACAAGGACAGCTGTCAAGTCATTCGGATGAGACGAAAAACCGAGGTCCCGTGTACACATTGGCGTGCACGTAAAAGATCCCTTGACAGTTGGAATTCGATATAAGAGTAGGCCGTAGTGCCGCTGTCCGGGCAAAATTTCCCTCATAGCACACTGTATGGCGTATGCCCGTCTTCATTAGCCCAGTTTGGAGCAAAACAGTAGGACGTTAAACCCCATTTCATTTCATGAAACTACTCGAACTATGGCTGTTCTACTGATACAACTTGATCTATATTCATTTAGCGATGTAAACATTCATGGAATACTGACACTAGATGGCTCTAGGGAGCTGATTTCCGTTTAGATTTTCATGGAAGATTGGAACCTTCACTTGATGATGTATTGACCAACCCTGACACGAGATCTCGAGAGAGGTGAGATTTGTGACGTTTATTAAATCACAGGTTGTTGGCGATTGGTTAATAGTTGGTTGTATTTCTATGTTGTATGTCTATAATATTAATAGGGGTTATATTTCTATAATATTAATAGGGTTGTATTTCTATAATATTAATAGGGGTTGTATTTCTATAATATTAATAGGGGTTATATTTCTATAATATTAGTAGGGGTTATATTTCTATAATATTAATAGGGGTTATATTTCTATAATATTAATAGGGGTTATATTTCTATAATATTAGGGGAGTTGGATGGCCGAATGGTTAGCACGCGCGCGCTGTATCATACGGTCTGTCATTGAGTCAACTGACGGGGTTTCGATTCCTCGGTTGTACGTGACCAGGAGTAGGGTCGCCTGTCCAACCTCGTGGGTTTTCTCCGGGTCCTCCGGTTCCCCCCCCACTGCTAAAGACCCCTACGCGCAAGCGATTTATTGAAATAAAATTGAAACATGTGTTAGTCCCGAAATGACCTAGTTTGTGTCGAGTGGACGTTAAACCCCATTTCTCCCTCCCTTTCCCTATAATATTAATAGGGGTTATTTTTCTATATGGAGTATTATTAATAGATAATAGAGGTTTTATGTCTATAATTACTGGTAGTCTGTTATTGCATGGATAATTCGGGTTTTTAGTCATAGGAAATGAAATGGTTTTTAATGAAGACGGGCGTACACGATGTACTATAAAAGAAATTTTCGCATACAGCGGAGCTATAGCCTACTCTTATATCGAATTTCATCTGTCATTGGTTCTCTTAGGTGCGCGCCAACGGGTAAACGAGACCTCGATTTTTCGTCCCAGTCGATCTGCTCTTGCCAACACCTCCGTCCTGCATGAGAGGTATCTCATTTCCTCTGATAGTACACCATCAATATAATTCTCTTCTCTTTGCCCGGCTCTAATATGTCCAAAACTTTCGTTGGGTCGAAAGCTTTCTACTACAGATGGAGCAACATGTGGCAACGTCGTGCTTAAAAGCAGATATAGGACAAGAAGATATGAAATGAAATGGGGTTTAACGTCCTACTAGGCTAAAAAAAAAGACGTGCATACGCCATACAGTGGGCTATGAGGGGAATTTTGCCTGGACAGCGGCAGTACGGCCTACTCTTTTATCGAATTCCAACTGCCAGGGGATCTTTTACGTGCATTCCAATATATACACGGGACCTCGGTTTTTCGTCTCATCCGAAGGACTAGACAGCTGTCCTTGTCAGGCCCTCCGGGGGTTTAACTTCCTACTGTTCTGCTTCAACTGGGCTAATGACGACGGGCATACGCCATACAGTGTGCTATGAGGGAAATTTCGCCCGGGCAGCGGCACTATCGCCTACTCTTATATCAATCCCAACTGCCATGGGATCTTTTACGTGCACGTTTTTTTGTTCCATACGAACGACTATACGTTGTCCCTTGCCAGGCTCTCGGTCGTTCACCCATGACAAAGGGGAAGCACGCCGGAAAATCGCGATAAACTTTCTCGGCCAACGCAGGGATCGAAAACGGGACCTCCAGATTAGCGAGCCAACGTCATACGCACTGAGCCACCGTGGCTCTCAATATAGGACACGGGATACCATTAATTCCTTCGCGACGAATATATTGCAAAAGTTATCAATAGTTTTCATCTCCTTTTCGCTTTCTCCCTTTTGCATGGTGGGTTTTGTTTTTACTTTTTGTTGTAGAATCGAACAAAATGGTTCGAATAATAATATATACATTTTCTGCCAGGTTTTTGAGGAATATACGTGATTTTCAGATGGAAGGATAAGACAGTTATGAGGTCGGTTGCCTTTAAATAAATGGCGGGTATTTGCAAGTTGGGGCAGAACAGTAGGACGTTAAACCCCATTTCATTTATCGAATTGTGGTCTGTATATATCCTATATGTTAGCATCATGCGATAAACTGTGATTCATTCAGCTAGTATCAGAGGTTAAATAACGGCATCTCTTTCAATGGTGGACAACGAGTGACAGTCGATTAAGGAAATTGGTGTTGGTAACTCGTGGACAAATTACTACACACTTAAGACTAGCGTTATTTGATTGGAGGTCACGGGGTCAATAACCCGGTCAAGGCTTGGCCCTGAGTTCACAAAACATTCTCAGACTTAAGAATTTACTCAAAATATAGCCCTTTATAAAACTTTGTTGTTTTAATGTATCAAATACATCAATAAGAAACTATATGCAAAGTTATATGTTTCTGGATCAAAGGTATTTCTTATAAACAGTGATTGAAAGTTGAGTAAATTCTTAACTTAAGTCTTCCACTAATTCCGAATTTGATTATAATAGTCTTGAATGGAAATGGCGTGTACTAGGCAAGGAGACATCAGGTATTGGGGTTATGATAGGCCGACTTTAAATATTGGGTGGGTGGGGTGGGGGGCGAATGGTTAGTGCGTGCGCGTTGCATCATTTGATCTATCATTGAGTCAACTGGCGTGGTTTCGATTCCCCAGTTGTCGTCTATCCAACCTCGCGGGTTTTCTCCAGGTACTCCGGTTTCCTCCCACTGCTAGCGAATTATTGAAACAAAATAGAACCATATGTTAGTCCCAAAACGACCTAGTTTGTGTCGAGTGGACGTTACCCCACCCACCCCCCACCCCCTCTCTCTCTCTCTCTCTCTCTCTCTCTCTCTCTCTCTCTCAATATTATAGACTTTTAAGTCAAATAATAACAACGAAATACATAACATTATCTAAAAACACAATTAGCATTTAATCATTTAAATATCAAATCAACAATATATTTGGTATTTGTGATATTATAAAATATCAAAGAAAAAAGGTGTAATTATATATGTTAATAACATCTTGGTTTCGTGAGTTAACTGTAGATTCTGGAAAATATGATAATGGTATATATAATGGGACGTCATCCTTTGATGTTGGCGTACCATTATTTCAAATAATGGTTCAAATAATGGTATGGGCAATGTGCCAAGCGTACATGATTTATACTAGTTGAAATTTTGGACTCGCGTGACGTGAGTTAACTGTAGATCCTGAAAAATATGATAAAGATATATATAATACGACACCGAAAGTCAATATATAGCATTGAACTATTGCGGCTCAATATCTATTTGTTAAGGCCAGCTTAATTTTTTTCAAGGTCGCTGAGAGGTAAACAAGGTTAGGACAAGTGATTGTTGGCGAGATTGTAGGTTAGGGTGAAGGTAAGCATTGGGGCTAGATCCAGGCTTAGGGTTGGGATTAGCGCTAGCCTTTTTTACATCTCGTGACCTATGACGAAAACCTGAGCGGGCCTTATCATTTAGCACTAACCGAACCATTGTTTAAAGTTGCTAAGTCTCTAACTCAATATCATCCAAAATCTTCGAAATTGAAAACACGAATTATTTGTCAGTTTAAATCAACATTGATGATATAATCTTACCGGGAAAAGATGGGCTTCCGATATCCAATATTTAAGGCAAAATAAACATTTTATCATTGGTACACGAATTATGTAGAATAATGCAATTCAGTGCCATTTGTAACAAGGGACTCGAAGAACGAAGCTAGACATATTCCACAAGTCATGTCAAATGGTAAAGATGCGCAATGAATAACACGGTGTAGACTGGAATAACCAGACGCCAGAGATTGCCATTCGTTTGAGACTTCTGGCGTATTATAACATAATGACTTATGTCATAGAGGCGTCCTGCCATATTAAAATACGTGTTAGTGATTGTAACATAAACCTGTCGCTATCAATACCCGGCTGGAGATCTTGGTAGTATTCCTTATGTCATTGCGTAACTATAACTTGTTGTTGGCATGTCTTATCTAACTTTCTTTGTCTGATAAACTATATTGAATGTTAAACCTTCATATGATGCTTGATACATTAGACAGGTGTCTAATGAGCTCCTTTGTCTCGAATACGTTTATAAACTCAGAACAGAAACGAATCTTCAGGCGGGTCCAGGAGGCCATGCTAGGCGGGTGCCTAGATCAAGGTACCTAATGGATACGAGAGAGGTCCAAGCAGGACACTGGAGCTGGGGCCATGTAATATAAGTTAGTTTGGAGTTGGCACACGTGCCTAGCCAAGCTAAGGCCATGGCTCACTCAGCATATGTTAGTTATGGAGTCTTTAAGTTTTTGTACATAATATGTTTAGAAGAATTAAAGTATTAATAGAAGCTGAAACTAGTCGTGTCATAAGAACCTGATAGAAAGAAGAACCAATACTGTCACAGTATTTCGCCGAACATAACTGATTAGAAATTACAGTAAAACAGAAACGATTGAATGAAAATCAGTTTATATACATCCATATTATATATTATATGCGTTGCGATCCATTTGTGTCAATTTCCAGGTCCCAAATATTAGCGATTTATCCCTTTTAATGAATATGTATGATTATAATAATACACTAGCCTGGGGAAGGGGCGGGGTTCAAGGGTGAATCAATCCCGTTCAAAGACAGCAATACGTTTAAGCAACATAGGTAATGTACGTGCCAATTACAGTTCACATACCAGGGGCTCCGGAGTTCGATCCTGACGTTGGTCGAGACCGGTCCCTTGGAGTTTACATTATTGTTTGCTCTTGTTGATGGACCAGCGTACTCTCTCTCTCTCTCTCTCTTTCTCTCTCTTTCTCTCTCTCTCTCTCTTGTTGGTTTTGTCAATGACGGACCAGCGTATATTCGTTCAGATGTGTAAGTAAATAGAGAGAGAGAGAGAGAGAGAAAAAGAGAGAGAGAGAGAGAGATTGGGTTTAATGTCCACTCGACACAAAATAGGTCATTTCGGGACTAACATATGGTTTAATTTTATTTATATAATTCGCTTGCGCGTAGGGGTCTTTAGCAGTGGGAGGAAACCGGGGGAACCGTGTAAGTAAATAAATCTTTGACAGTTTTAATTCGATGCAATGTATGGGTATTCATGCCACTAGCCAGGCTAAATATCCCCTCGTGGCTTGTACCCGTGTTCATTATCCCGGTTGGCGCAGAAAAGTAGGACGTTAAACACTATTACATTCATTTTGTTCCTTCACTTACCTCATTTACCATACCAACTGCCACTGCCGTATCCGTATCCACCGCCCATACCATATCCACCGCCCATACCATATCCACCGCCCATTCCATATCCGCTCATCCCATATCCGCCCATTCCATATCCGCTCATCCCATATCCGCCCATCATACTTGGATACGAACTATAACTCATCATACTTGGATACGAACTGTAACTCATACTTGGATACATGCTGTAACTCATCATACTTGGATACATGCTGTAACTCGACATGCTTGGATACATGCTGCTATAGTAACCACCTCCTCCTGACAGACCATGTGAAGCAGAACCATATCCTCCCAACACAGAGTGTAATGTTACCAACAAGACAAAACCAACTGAAAAGCACATAGTGTTCATCTGAAAGAAACAAATATATATATATATATCCAATCTGATTAAAACACAGACCCGATTTAATTTCGTTTTTTTAGTTCAGAATTTCGTTTTACTTATCTTTACTAGACTAGGGTCTCGAAGAGTTGTTATATAACGCCAACGGGTGTTCTGGATGATGTGAGGGATTAGACAATGAAACGGTCTGTTACCGCGACGTTTTGGCGTAAGGTGCACGGAAGTGTGGGTAATCCACCAGAAACATCAAATGGTTAATCAATGTCTGGCGTCATAGGGTCAAAAGTCGCTCGTACGACCCCTGACGCGACCTTCAACGACAACCGGCCAGATCTTCATGTAGTAGAGACCATGGAAAGTATAAAAAAAAAGAAATATAGATCTGTATTTTAATCTGATGGAGTCACAGAACTAGTACATAGCAAGGGGTCTTTAGCAGTGGGGAGGGGGGCGGAGGAACCGGAGGAATCACACGAGGTTGGACAGGTGACCCTACTCCTTGCCACGTACAACCGGGAAATCTCAATCACGCCAGTGGTAGGAAACCGGAGGACCCGGAGAAATCCCTCGAGATTGGAGTGTAACTGTAAGAAGTGTTAGCAGATGTTTTAGAAAGAGTAAGTGCAGATATACCCCACCGCAAAGTTTTATTGAGCTTTTTGTTAAGACAGCGGCTTTTCTGTCTGCCATTCCATGAATTCAGTCCGTCCAGGTTGCGTTTTGATGCACACCAATGTGAACTTTGTATTTTTTCCAATAGAACGACGGGCGACACAGGGGACTCTACTCAGGACACGCCCGGATTTAAACCCCGGAAAATTTATGTCGATTGTTCTTGGATTTCGAACGCCGGCACAACTGACGACTGCTGGGAAATTGTCAACATGTGATAATTTAGAATTGGGTATAATCTTTTAACCTTATTCTGTTAGAGGAATGCTCTCTCTCTCTATCTCTCTCTCTCTCTCTCTCTCTCTGGCTGAATGGTTAATCCGTGTGCGTTGCACCATAAGGTCTATCATTGAGTCAAGTAGCGTGGTTTCAATTCCCCGGCTGTACGTGTCCACCCTCGTGTGTTTCACCGGGTCCTCCGGTCTCCTCCGACTCTTACTCGCATTTAAATTATTGAAATAAAATCAAACCATATGTTAGTCCCAAAATGACCTAGTTTCTGTCAAGTGGACGATCGGACTCAGGGACTGCTGGTTAGGAAGCCAGCGCCATACTATACTCGGGGAATAACACGCCTGGGATAATTTAGATCTAGATAGGCTACAGTCTTACCTTATTCTGTATCCACAGCAGAGATTCAGACAAAAATATTGGTTAAATATTGCTACTATTCTTTCTACACACCAGTAATGTTTATATACTAAACAACATCAAAGCCGACATGCGGTACACGGAAATAACCGAAAACATGCGGAAGCTCACAAAAATGCACTATAATGAAATCATTTAGTAAAAAAATATATCGACCTTGTTCTATTACAATACTGACCATCGTTTGAATTTATTTCAATGTACCACGTGACTGCAGAACGTGTCGTTGAAAGTTAAATGCTAAAAGGATTAACATAACAGTTATTCATAGGGAGTGATATTGCTTTAAAAGAATACAGTAGAGGGTGGTAGGGTGAGAAAAGTCTGCCCTTTATTTGTTTTCGTAATAAGTAGAACGATTACCATTTTTTTTCTGTCTTAGAACGTGAGTATTTGTGATTTTTATTTTTGCACTTTTAACAGGGCGGGTCATGGGTTTCGCCTAGGTGGGACGGAGGTGGTCATTCCAAAAGGGCATAATGATATGTTGGGTTTCAGGGGTCGATACGAAACGTGCGATTTTAAATGTTTTCCTTTGTGTGTGCGTGTGGATGTGGGGGGTATTATGGTTGAGTGTAGTGTATAATGTCCTACTGTTTCTAAGAAACCCGGCTAATGAGAGAGAGAGAGAGAGAGAGAGCGAGAGGGAGAGAGAGAGGGAGAGAGTATTTAACGTCCATTCGATACAAACAAGGTCATTTCGGGACTAACACATGATCAAACCCAATTTCAATAATTCGCTTGCGCTTAGGGTCTTTAGCAATCGGAGGAAACCGAAGGACCAGGAGAGAACCCACGACGTTGAACAGGCGACCCTACTCCTTGTCACGTACAACCGGAGAATCGAAACCACGCCAGTTGACTTAATGACAGACCTTACGATACGCACGTGCTAACCATTCCGCCATCCGCTCCCACCCCCACTCTCATAAATCTTCAAAGGAGTAATGGATACATACATTACATAGTTGTTAAATTTGAACTTTTACTACAGGAATAGCATACACAATGGTCCCAAAAGATCCCAGACACCTGTTACATCATGTATTTGCAACTTTGCACTTTTGAACTACATTGACCTTTGTGTACGTTATCTTATGTTTTGTCATGTCATGGCTTACATTGTTTAAGTCCAATTCAAAACCGGACACAAATTGTTTGATTATTTAAAAAAAACAGAATAAGAAAAGTACTTCTTGGTTCCGGTTGAAAACCAAATCAGGGGATATGACGGGGAAGTGGTGGGGTGGGAACATATCGTCCGTCTTCATTAGCGCAGTTCGGAGCAGAACAGTAGGACGTTAAACCCCATTTCATTTCATTTCATTTATATTCGAAAAATTGGTGGGGTGCGGTGGATTTGGCCATGTCCCGAAATTCGATGGGGTGACGGTTATCCTGAGAATCCAAAATTTGGTGGCTATCCTTAGATTCGATCAAATAACTTTGAAATTCCAGAAAACTGGTTTTGACATTTTTTATATCCATACATACTTCGACCTCCTAATTTTAATTCTATCTCGAAGTCTGATATTTCAGATTATTTACCCAAACTGCCGAATAAGCCCTATACGGCGTAGACAGTTTTGCTACGTTCTACTCATAAATGCAGGTGTCAATGCGGCTTTTGTTTGTTTTGTTTTGTTTTGGTTTTTTTTTTGGTTTTTTTTTGGGGGGGGGGGGGGGTCGTTCCATTTCAACGATTTGACACTGTTCCGTGCCAGGCAGTCCGCCCCTCTCTACTGACAAAGGAAACCCAAGTTGCAAATAAAACCAGGGATCTCCTGGTTGTGAGCCACGGTAGTTCAGTTAGTAGGACGTTGGCTTGCTAACCAGGAGATCTCGTGTTCGATCCCTGTGTTGACAGGTGCAACGTATAGTCTTTTTCAAATGGAACGTGAAGCCGAGCTCCCGTGTACACATTGGCTTGCACATAAAAGAACTCTTGGCATTCAAGTTACGAGTAGGCTGCTGTCCGGGCAAAATTTCCCACATGGAGTTTAACTTCCTACTGTTCTGCTCCGTCTGGTCCAGTGAAGTCGGGCATACGACATACAGGGCAGCGGCACAATGGCCTACTCTTATATCGAATTCCCACTGCCAGGGGATCTTTTACGTACACGTCAATGCATACATAGGACCTCGTCTTTTTGTCCCATCCGAACGACTAGATAGCTGTCCTTATCAGGCCGATCGCCGGCCCCGCTGACAAGAGGAAACCACGTCGGAAAATCCCGATGAACTTTCTCGGCCAATGCAGGGATCCACACTAAATGGCGTATGCCTGTCTTCATTATTCCAAACGGAGGGCCTGACAAGGACAGCTGTCTAGTCCTTCGGATGAGACGAAAAACCGAGGTCCCGTGTATACATTGGAATGCACGTAAAAGATCCCTTGGCAGTTGGAATTCGATATAAGAGTAGGCGATAGTGCCGCTGCCCGGGCAAAATTTACCTCATAGCACACTGTATGGCGTATGCCCGTCTTCATTAGCCCAGGTTAGGAGCAGAACAGTAGGACGTTAAACTCCATTTCATTTCATTTCATTTCACTTATTCACTGAGCCACCGTGGACGCATGGAGAACTATAAAAGCATGCTGAAGGTCAAGACAGAAACAGGACGTGTGTTATTTTGCAAATTGGATATTTGTTTGTTCCACGGCTGGAAAGTTTGACTAATTGCGAAGCCATTCGTTGAGACACGTCCACAAAAACACCATCAACAACACTGACTGTTCACGTTGACCTTTAGCAATAAAAGGAGGAAAGTATTTGAAGTTTTTATATATGAAGAATGAACGTAACAAGATGGAATAGCTCATTATTGCATCTTATCTGACAACTGAAGATGACGGGGTGGACAATGGCGCTAATTCCAACCAGAAAGCTTTTAGTTGAAGAGTCGTTCAAACTGTCTTGTAAAACTCGACGACAAAAACACAATAAAAACACTCACAGACTTCGTGATAAGTATTACAGACAGGATTATCCAGCCACCTCACACATTTGCCTGGGAGTACTATTCACAGTAACACAATGAAATGAAATGGGATTGAACGTCTTTCATTTCTGCTCGCTAGCCTGGAGGTCGGGTGGTCGATCCCTGCATTGGCCGAGAAAGTTCCGGCGTGGTTCCCCTTGTCAGTGATTCAGGACGGAGGGCCGGACAAGGACAGCTGTCTAGTCATTCGGATGTAACGAAGAATCGAGGTCCTGTGTACACATTGGCGAGCACGTAAAAGATCCCTTGACAGTTGGAATTCGATATAAGAGTAGGCCTTAGTACCGCTGTCAGGGCAAAATTTCCATCATAGCACACTATATAGCGCATGCAAGTCTTCATTAGCCCAGTTCGGAGCAGAACAGTAGGACGTTAAAACTCATTTCATTTCTTTCCTTTCTGCAACAACTGAGCTATATTAATGAAGACGCATTCGGCAAACCTCGGCAGACTACTGTAACTTACATCTAACCTCGACTGTATGATGAATTCCGCCATTGGAACTACTGTCAAGTTCCCGGATTAAACATGGCGGCGGCCATGAAGACACCTGTGAAGAATGTCTTATCTCAAGAAACCGCGCAAAGCTTTAAACTTCTGATTCTGATGCTGTTTTTCTTTTCAAGTTTATACCATTTTCTTTAAACAAAGGACAACTTTGCAATGAAAACTCTACTCAATCTTCGAACGACGCCATTTTGAGAACTTCTTTCTAAAAGCGGCAAGTTTTCCTAATAAATGTACCTGTAGCCGCATCACAATTGTATGGGTGTAGCTGAATACCACTTACCGTCATACAGCCGAGGTTAGATGTAGGGCACTGGAACATACCGAGGTTTGCCGAATGAATGTGGACGGGCATATACGCCATGCAGTGTGCTATGAGGGACATTTTCTGCCTACTATCTCTTTACATGCACACCAACGTTTACACGTAAAAGATCCCTTGGCACATGGAATTCGATATAAGAGTAGGCCGTAGTGCCGCTGTCCGGGCAAAATTTCCCTCATAGCACACTGTATGGCGTATGCCCGTCTTCATTAGCCCAGTATAGGAGCAGAACAGCAGGACGTTAAACCCCATTTCATTTCATTTCGAGAGTATCTGGCCAAGAAAACCTGGAGCCTGACACTTTTCCAACTGGTCTATTCTTGCGTCTGGTAGTCCACGTCTATATAAAATAAACCCGGAAAGTAATAATGGCGACTTCCGGTATCAAATGGAATCTGGTTTTATCTGCGCCTTGTAGACGCCCATCTATCAACACCGACTGACAGACGCATCACCTACTTATACCACTTACATCATTAACCAACACAATACAGCTTTTATCGTCTCCAGAACAAAACTCTTCAAATTAACCTTTGGCAAGAATATAGTTACCCCCAGTTTCCAGCCATTAAACTGGCCAGACTTCCTTGTTGAGTTAATTAAGTCCCAACTGTTTTTATTTGTTTTGGAAGTGGCGAGCTGTCTTGCCTTCATCTGAAATAGACAGTACACAGGATTTTGTGTTCAACACCCGACATAAACTAGGAATGGCCAGCCTCCGGCACATGCGTCAAACGTGTCACATGGCGTGATTAAGTGGCGCATTGCATCCCTGAGATTTTATTATAGCGTGCACATCTTATTTTAGCGAATTAATCAGACTGAGAACGGTGGACTTTCGTTCTGCAATCGACCCGTAACTGTTTAATACGTGAAAACATTGTCGCAAATCGACGTATATCAATTGATGCGCAATTGTCCAAAGAACCAACGTGTCGATGGTACATTGAACATGACGAAGATGGTTATCAAGTGTATGGAACCGGTTCCTTGTACAAACCATTAGTTATATAGTATTCTACGCATTAGTTATAGAGTATGCTAAGCATTATGTACATAGTATTCTAAACATTAGTTATATAGTATACTAAACATTAGTTATATAGTATTTTAATCATTGGTTATATAGTATTCTAAGCATTAGTTATATAGTATTCTAAACATTATTTATATATGATTCAACAACTGGTTTAAAGATGGGCTCACAGGAAAAGTATTTATCGGGTGGTTATTTCC